CTGACAAAAGCGGACGACAAATTCGGGCTGTGTAATATATTGATGCTTTAGAACTTACCAACATGATTTCAGAAGACATTTAGAATTTATATCCCTTTCTCAATGTACCTAAAAAGCTCACTTTCCATATTCTCCTTCAGCAAGAAAGGAGACAACACCTGTCCAACAATCAGGAATAACTCATTGAAGGCATTTGTGAACCAAATACTAAAACTACATGTAAGAGTCGACAGTTTGCAAATCTGCAGGATTTGGGAGCCACAGTAAGAAAGAAGGTACCCTGACTCGCACAAAAAAATCTGTCTTTCACAGAAAACAGATATTTCTCTTCTCTGCATTTTAACATGTTACTCTGAATGCAAACTAATATGCTAAATAACCAAAGTCAGACAATAAACTTTATAAAAATTCAAGGCAGCAATACTTGAACTCCTCCCATGTTATGAAAGGTTGAATTACTGTTTCTGTCAATGTAGTCTGGTGAAGCATTATGGCTTTACTTCCTTCCCCCATCTGATGGTGGGTAAACCAGTAAAAATAATAAAATGTTCAGTGTGCAAATAAACAGATTATATCTTTACACAGCTAAAGCTGTTTTTAAGCCGACTGTGACCTCACCTGCTGCCTTTGTAGAGGGAAAAAAAGCAGACATGTCAGCATGACTAGTTGAGTGGATGATAAAAACACGTGACAAGAGAATCAATATCCTCAGATGCCCTAAACTCTTACACAATTCTCAAAATATGAAAACATAATAATACATGAAATTAGTGAATAAGACACTAAAATTTAAGCATATGAGTTGATTTAAGTTTATACTGTTTTTCCAACCTATTTAAGAAGAATTTTACTGCAAGATCTGGGTAGCAGAGACTGAACTCCACAAACTAATCTGACCTTAAGTACATTTCAACCACATTTAAATGATATTATGACTATTAATTCTTTCAAATGGATCCTATATACACACATACAATTTTTAAATGGAACTCCATTATATTACACTTAGTTTTGACAAATTTCTGAATGCTGCCTAACTTTTAGTTTTCTTTTTCCCACCTGTTCAACTGGGGTTTTGGCACCTCAGTATCAATCAGTGTTAGGACTGGGCGATATGGCCTAAAATCCATATCACGTTATAATTTGAAGCATGTGCGGTAACGATATATATCACGATATATTCTTTTCTTCTGTATAACGTATTCTACACACTATAAGGCACACTTAAAATCCTTTAATTTTCTCAAAGAAAACAAAGAGAGAATTCAGCATTAATGAATCAATGGTACGGAAGTGGAGGAAGCGCAGTTTTTGGCTTTCCCCGTATTCCAAAAGTGCTTCGTCTCTTTGCTATTACTGTCGCCCGGCATAATTTGCAGATGATATTGTTTGCAGCTGCTGCAATGCTTTTGACCAAATCAGTGTGAATAAAAACAGCAACAAAAATGGTAGCTGAATAGGCAGACCCCACCCTCATCAACTTTTGATGCAAACCTAGTCATTTTGTTCTACAAGCAGGCCTGAAATATGACAGAAACCGCACAGTTCAGAAAAGACAGTCAAAGGTTACACCTAAGCTTTCAAGGGCAACTAATAAATTATTCACGGGGACCATCCCTATATCACACGTCCACATTCTTCCTATTTGCTTTTTGGTTCATATCACTGGTATTTACTGATATTTTAATAAACAAAAAATGTGGTTTATGCCTGAGGAAATTAAACTCCACTCAAAGAGAAACAGAAATTTAAAAATAAATAAATCAGACAATAGAAGTACACTCATTTACATAAAAACTTGGCACAATGAAAAATGTGTACAAACTTTCAGTTAAAACATGTATTCTTTATAAAATTTGAAGATTATTCAAGCTCAACCAAAGATCATGTGACAAGAAGCAGCAAGCAGCCTGAGGCAAAGGAGTTCGACATGAAGGAAAACACGTCCTTGAAGTGACTATTTGAAGTCCAGTTATCAAGATTGTAGAGATTACTCTACTGAGCCTTTGAATATTTGAAATGCTTTTATATTTCACACTAAGCACAAATCACCCACATGTGTACATACAGGCACATGCAGGAGTACTGACACAAAGTAAGCATTCAGCCTTTTTCTTCCTGTTATTGATTACGAAAATTAAAAAGAACTATGGGCTTTTTTTTTGGTTCAGTTGGTTTTTGGCTTTGTTTTTTTTTTAAGACGTTATGAACCATTTGAGCTCCGGGGGCTGCTTCTAATATGATTGAAACACCCCACTACAGCCCTGATGTGACTGCTCACCTGATACATTTAAAAGAGTTTTTCTGGCCACAAGAATGACTGATACACTAATTTGACAAAAACTGGTGCATCTGACACACAATGTTTCATATGCCTATATACAAATACAAGAAAGAAACTGGTTGAAAACTGTTTAAGCAGTTTGGTTACAGATTGTGTCTACAATTGTGACTGCTGTAACACAGGAATTTGGGTTCAACTTATCTTAACAGCTTTGAGCAAAATGCAAAAGCACTTGATCTCTAAGGATCAATAAATCACTGCAGTGCTGATTACCTATAGATAAGAACTGTATTATATAACAACAAATGGCTCTGTATACACATTTCTGGCATATCATAAGATGAAAGCACCTCTCAAGACTGCAAAACAAAGTGTACTACTGACACTGAGCTGAGCCCACCCACCCTTTGCTCTGGGAAGAGAGGTACATTTTTGTCATTCCTTTCTCCAACACGTTAACATCTGTCCCAGGTCGAAGCTCTGTGGGGCTGTGTTAGTCACGCCTACGGCACGCTACTTGAGAATCTGTGTCTGCAGGCTACATCTTTACCTTACAAGCCCAAGCTTTTCCCTCGTTACAGGGCACACAGCTGCAGGCATAACTGTAGCACGTATCTACCTATCTCTCCACTTCATCTCCACTTCTAAAAGCACAGCTCGTCCGCCTCTTTCATAGATTCAAATATTTCTGGCATACAACCACAAGATGAGCCACTAAACTAAACAATATTAACCGATTAAAAACACTGCATGTATGTTACTATTGCAGAGTATGTAAGTGTGCAGATCATTTTTGTCATATTTCTAACAGCGTTCACATCTGACTAAAAGAAGCAGGGATGAGATTCGTGTCACTTAAGGGTATGGATGTCTTAGTATGGTTTTAAAGCCAGGAGGGCAAGGACCTGCCTGCAAAACAGTCTAATTATTAATTCAATAACCAGCATTCTTGCTGTGGTGATGCCAGTATGATTACACACAAGTGAAAATGTACATATCTATAAACAAAAAACAAGTCCTATAAGCCCAGACTTGTGAAAGACACGCCTCAAAAGGCACCCTTTAAAACCTGACACACAACAGAAAGTATTACTTCTGGTTAAATTATTCTTCTCATGTAATGACTGATCTATTAAGAACATTGATGGTACATAGAACGAGATGTCTATTACCTTTACATGTAAATTTATAAATTTACACTACCAATTAATATCATTTTAAATCTTTACTGTTCAAACATTATTTTCACTCCTGTGCAGTAAAGCTGGTAACTTCACAAAAGGAAAAGCAGTGCATTTAATTTTAAGAAACTCTGTAATTAATGACTTCACGTTGGCATCTGTTAATGGCAAAAGCACCTCATCATCCTAAAAAGCAAAAAAGGCACAAAGGGCTGAAACTCAAATGGTGTAGATCACAGCTTGGCATTTAACACAGCGGTCCCCAACCCCCGGGCCTCGGACCCGTTCAGGTCCGTGAGTCATTTGGTACCGGGCCGCGAGAGTTGAGGCTCAGGTGTGAAAAGTATGGTTTTCAGGTTTTTTTAATCGGTTTTCAGCGTTATTTTGTTATCGTTTTGATTGTTAACTCTGTTTTCCTGGGTCTTTTCATGTGTGTTATGAATAAATCTTCTTTTTTTCGGTACGGGTACTAGTTTTATTTTGTTGTATTTATCCGCGATACATTAAAGGCCGGTCCGTGAAAATATTGTCGGGCATAAACCGGTCCGTGGTGCAAAAAAGGTTGGGGACCGCTGATTTAAAACACCTAATACTGGAGTCCAGACTAAATCTCAACTTATCCTGTTTCTCTCTCAAATGGGAGTAAACACTTGATTTCTGCTACTTTTTAAACCTTTATCAGAGTACGATGATCTGCTACTTAATAACACCTCTGACAAGCAGCTACATGTTTTATCAATCGCTGTGGAAATCATGTACATCACTGTTCTCTGTGTGTCTGCAGACTCCAGCTATTTGCTTGGTTTTCTACTTGGGCTGGTTCCCTCTCATCTCTGTACATACATGTGTAAAAACCATAATCAAGAGTTTAAGTCACTTTTAAACTGTCACTTTTAAAGGCTGCAGTCTCCTGTTGATCAATGTGACTTCATGTAAACTTAATATGACACACAACCTTTTTTTAAAAAAAGGTTGTGCGTGTCTTTTTTTAAAAAAGGTTGTGTGTCTGGAGTTCATCAACTTACACTGTTCTTGAGTTGTATTTATGTGACTGTTTACATTAACCATTAGATTTTTCCTGTGAATGAGACTTAACTGGTTATATTAATAATTTGTATATATGGTGAGTTTGGAGGTCAAGCTGAGATTCCCAAAAGCATCCCTAGAGCTGCTAGTGGTTTGCTCAAGAATATCAACAGAGGAGTGAGCGGAGGAAGAGAAGGGGAGTGAAGCCAGCACATCTGGTTGAAGTGAAATCTCTCTACTGCACCAAATCCACATCGATACACAAGAAAAAAAGAAACATTTTAAAAGCCAGCCGGGCTCCTCCCTGCATACAGACATGCCTGTACACCAAGGAGACTGTGAGTGTATGTGTGTGTGAATTATGGCCACCAGGAACAAGCTCGACATTCCAAAACACACACACACAGAGAGAGAGAGAGAGAGAGAGAGAGAGAGAGAGAGAGAGAGAGAGAGAGAGAGAGAGTTTTCACTAGGCTTCAATGACAGCAATGTGGTCGCTAAAAACTCACCATTTCTTAGTACATTCCACCATTAGTTCCTGATAGGAAGCCACGAACTGGAATTTAGACGCATGCTTTCCCACACGTTGCAGTCTCTTCCACACCGAGGCCATGTTTCTTTGGGACGCGGGGTAGTTTCTGCGTGCCTATCCCGTCCTGGACTTCCTTCTTTGGGCTTCCCTTCGCACGACTTCACGCTTGTGTTTATCTGAGCATATCCAACCCGCATAGACACATAGTTAATGTTTTACCGGAAGCACTTTAAAAAATAATAACAAGAACGACACTAAAAAGAAGAAGATGATGATAAGGACCGTCTTTAAAAACTGGCGGATAAATCCAAGCGTAAGGAGGTGAAATCTCTGCAGCAGGAGACTAGGCTTGATTTGTAGAAACGCATGATGCTAAGGAGAAAAGCACTCCACAATTTCGAAAGGCGTGATGAGTAATCCACTGGGTATAAATATCATTTTTCCATCTGCTGACCTTCCTGCAAAAGAAAGGAGGGGAAAAGACACAGTCGGTAGAGAAACACAGAAAAGCCCGGAGTATCTTTGACTATGTCACAAACCCACTAAACGTTATAGAGATGCAATTTACGTAAAGCAGCTGCTCCGTTATCACTGGCTTAAGCCCTGCAGATGTTACAACAAGACAGTTTATCTGCAGAGCACTTTGTTCATGTATAAGAATGCAGCAGCACTTAATGCTGCCAACACGGCGTGTCCGGGGGGGGGGCTATTTGCTAGCATGTTTGATAATAAAATTTGAATTTCTGCAATGAAATAATGAAAGAGAAGCACTGACATCACACTAAAACAAGCTCTTTCAACCACACAGTTAACAAAAGCTGCAACAACATGCACCACTTGAAAATGAGACCCCACTAAAACACGTTTTAAACACGGACAAATTAGTGGAATTCCTCGGGAATCCAGGGAGTAGTCTGCGCCGCTGTCCGCCGCTAACCGGGGTGATTCAGCTTCCAGGCTAACGACTTTACATGTGAAACTCCTGAGGCTGTGTGACACTCACCTTACTGCAGCACCCAGCACATAATGTGTTATCAGCAGAGATGGCGAACTGTCTTAAAAAGAGAACCAAGAAAACAGACGAGTGAGAGTAGCCTGCTTGCTGGCTAATTGCCGCTTTCTCTATGCTGCAGCAACACCAGTCATACAGCTCTAGCTAGCCCTGCTAGTTACCACGGCTAGTCACCACAACACGGCACGAGCGGAAACCGTAGCCTGGCACTCTGCTCCTCAGGTAAGCGCAACCCCCGGAACTCAAAAACCGGCGTTTATTCACGGCTGTCCCGCAGCTAAACTGAAGCAAAGTGAACCGATCCCTGGCAGCAGGGATCCTCTCAGTTAAGTAGTCCGATAGTTACTGATACTTTGACTGATCTGTTTATCTGAAAAGTGCATAAAGTTAGGCGAGGTCCTAAAAGATTTCCGTTAGAGGAAGCTGCATTTTCAGGATAACTGAAAGGACAAGGATAACTCTTCAATGAGTCTATTAATCAATCATTATTACAAGCCAAGGAGACTAAATTATAATAGGGATAAATAAACATATTATTATTATTATTATTATTATTATTATTATTATTATTATTATTATTATTATTATTATTATATAAAAAGTTCACTTGGCTGTAAGTCTTTTTTAGTGCAAAAGCTGATCTGATCCCCCACCTCCCCCACAAGTATCCCTTACAATATGAGCATTTAAAAAGATTAAAACTAATAGTGCGTAAAATTCAAACTAAACATTTTGATTGATTTTAGACATGTAAAAGAAAAATAAAACACAAATAAGTAACAAAAGAGCATTGTAAACAGATAAACAAGAAAAGGGATACTGAACTGCCATCAACAACATTATGACCGGTCAGTTTACATACTGGAAAAGGAGTAGGGCGAAGAGTAAACTTATGTAATCCTGCCTCTAAACTGTATGGACTGAAAATAAATTGAAATTCAAAACAAATAAGTTTAAAAGATAAGAAAATTACAGACAAATAAAATCAAAACAAGACAAAAAATATAGAATAAGGGTTAAAAAATACAGTTATACCGACAATATTTCTTCAGTAATATTTTAATGATATCATTATAAGCTATCCCTCAAACTTGCTTATCAAGTTTTTGCGCAAGGTGTGTTTTATTTTGAAGGTTGATGCCCCTACATCCTGTCTTGGTTCAGGCTGACTTCACTGATCCTCTCCTCTCCATCATTTGCTCTGCCGCTTGGATGACTGAAGGCTGGAGAAACGCCTCCAGACATCAGCCATTGGTGGCATTTTTGTGCCTGTTTACTCATTCATGAGGCATTTCTAGGTTGTTGTTGTTGCTGTTGTTATCGCCCCTGTTAAATCCTACATCCATCAAACACATCCCTTAATCCTTCATAGGATGGGTTTGCTGCTGCTGTCCCCAGACCTCCTCAAGTCACCATCAAGCATCTGGGAAGTCAAATATCTGCAGTTTGCAAAACGATGTGGCATTTAAATGCAGTATACAGTAACACATTCCTCCTTTTTAGTGGGTTTCAGCTATACACATAAAAATAGCTTTTTGCAAAATGGGGAAACAAGTATTTTGTCCCTGTATGTAATAAGTAACATTAAAAACATGTAGTCTACATATATGCATCTTTTGTCTGTATGTATTTTGGGGGGGCCTGTTCTCATTATGCAAAGTCATATATTTTACTGGATCATGATAATTAACATGATAATGTTGCAACAGGTTAGTATTTTATATGCTGCTGGGATTATTCTAGATTAGATTATTTCTAATCTGAAATATCCTGAACAAAAACTGGGAGCTGGTTCCACAGGACAGGAGCCTGATGCTCTGCCTCCCATCTACTTTTCCAAACTCTAGCAACCACAAAAAAGCCTGCAGTCTGAGAGCAAAGTGCTCTATTGGAATATTATAGTACAATGAATTCTTTAAGTTGTGTTATGATGTAGGACTTTTATTCAATGGGGGAGACAATATTAGTTGATAAATTACAGTTTTTGTATACAAGAAAACAGCAGAAACAGAAGTCAGCTTAAAAAAGACATAAATAGGGTACAGCTACATTAAAACCACACTACTTTGTACTACATTGTACAAAAAAGATCCCATTAATGTTCTCATCCAACATCAGTGGTGGTGGGTAGCACCAGAGGGAGCAGTCGTATTTCCCCTCCCCTTGTGGACACATCCCTGCTTGAAAGCCTGGATCTACAGCAGAGCTTCACCCTCAGGTTTGTACTAATGAAGATGAGACCTCCATTTTCTGGAGGAGGAGTTGTCTTTCATATGTTAAGAGGAAATAAAACACCCACTGCCCATCAGAAATCAGTAAACCCTCATCTACACACACACACACACACACACACACACACACA